TCAATGTGAAAAAATATTTTAGTTACAACCTACAACCATCAATGGTAATAATATCCGTAAATCTATTTAGATAATAAAGTGTAACGAAATTAATTTTAAAGTATTAAATAAGGATGAAGCACCAGAGAGAAATGTTGTTAATAGATGGCGTGAAATTCTTTAAGTTGAATTGTATGTAAATTTGATCATGTGATTTTTTAAATTATATATAGGTCTTAACTCTTGTAAAATATAGCACTCTTGGTGATGACGCAGTTAGACGTAGAAACATGTAGAGTGTATGAAACTGTTTCTTATCTCGCAGTGTTTTATTTTATCTTTATAAAGTAAAACGATTCTATTGTATTTTGAGACTGGGTACAGTCTCATTTTAAATATTTTGTATACTGTTAAACGTCGACTTTATTTCTTTAATACATGTGTGAAAACTTAATAGGTGTCGCCCTAATCTCAATTGGAAATATGTGTCTACGTTACAGTCTTGAAAGTGTATATGTTTCTTAACACTAAAAATTTAAAAGTAATAGTATATATTTTTTCAAGGCCCGGTATGGCCAGGTGGTTAGGGCGCTCGACTCGCAATCTGCGAGTCACACCAAACATGCTCGCTCTTTCAGCCTTGGGGGCGTTATAATGTAACGGTCAATCTCACTATTCGTTGGTAAAAGAGTAGTCCAAGAGTTACACTGCTAAATTAGTGACGCCTAGTGCAGATATCCTTCGTGTAGCTTTGCACGAAATTCAAACAAAATTTTTTCAGAGATTTGAAAGAAGGTCATTAGCAGTCACTCTCTTTATTGTATTTTATAACATAGCTTTTATTTAATCTCAAAATACAATAAAATAAATAGAAGCCACCAAGAAATTAATTTCTTATTATAAATAAGACAGTTCCATTTATAAAATCCTATTGTACTTGACATTAAAATGTTTCCTAACTAACGAAAAATGTAAAATAGCAACAAAAAGATGACCGTGTAAACCTGAAAATTTGGAGATTGTTTAATGGTCCCATTTGACAGACACATGAACTATATAATTTATAACTATAATTCCCCCATACACATACACTTTTAAAGATATTCAGTTTAAAGAAAAAGATTTTCATAACTACATCATCTGTTCGCTTTTCTGGAAAACCAGAAATCAAAACCTTGATAGTTTTCTCTTATAATGTACGTATTGTTAATATATATATACATAGACATAGAGAGAAATACTATATAATAGATATATCTCTAACTGGAAACAGTTCTTAATTTTTCAAGTATCTAGGCTACAGTTATCTTGTTCTGAATGTGTTATTCTTATAAATGTATAACCAAAGCCAACTCAGGATATAGTAACACTGACCTGGCCGTCTAGCACTGTATACACACACACAGGGGTTTCTCACTTGGCCGTATGGCGTTATATACATACACAGGGGTTTCTCACTTGGCTGTCTAGCACTGTATACACACACACAGGGGTTTCTCACCTGGCCGTCTAGCACTGTATACACACACACAGGGGTTTCTCACTTGGCCGTCTAGCACTGTATACACACACACAGGGGTTTCTCACCTGGCCGTCTAGCGTTATATACATACACAGGGGTTTCTCACTGGCCGTCTAACACTACACACACACACACACACACACAGAGGGATTTCTCACCTGTCCGTCTAGCGTTATATACATACACAGGGGTTTCTTACTGGCCGTCTAACACTATATATACACACACACACACACAGGGATTTCTCACCTGGCCGTCTAGCGTTATATACATACACAGGGGTTTCTCACTGGCCGTCTAACACTATACACACACACACAGGGATTTCTCACCTGGCTGTCTAGCGTTATATACATACACAGGGGTTTCTCATCTGACCGTCTAGCACTATATACACACACCGGGATTTCTCACTTGGCCGTTTAGCACTGTATACACACACAGGGTATTTCTCACCTGGCCGTATAGCACTATATACACACACAGGAGTTTCTCACCTGGCCGTCTAGCACTATATATACACACACAGGGGTTTCTCACCTGGCCGTCTAGCGCTATATAAACACACAGGGATTTTTGACCTGGTCGTCTAGCACATTATGCATATAAGGTTTCGTTCAGGTAAACAAATAAATCAAAAGTCTTTAAAGTTGTCTAAAAATGTGAGTGAAGGTTGAAGACCATTTTTATTTTGAAATATATTTGACCATTTTTTTTGGTTTTCAAATTAAGATAATCATATTTTTGAATACTTCAGGAGGATACCGTTATGAAAAATTTTTTGAAAGTTCCATCTTACTTACTCTCATGCTTCCATCCAGGATGTGAGAGGAAAAGTAGAAACGAACATGAAATTTTACCAACAGGAAGAGGAACAAAAAAATAAAATAAAAGTTACAGAAAACAAAATAATAATAATATTGAAATGGCGAGAAATAGTGATTTTGTGTAAATTACACATGGATCATGTAAAGAAATGGGAGTGGAATTTTTTTTTCTTTTGCTCGGAAAAATATTTCCCTTCTCATCTATAATAGGTTAGATAAATCTTATATATTGCAAGTGTCAGAGTGTGACTGATTTCTTCTTAAATTTATAGATTATCTTGGGTGTGACAGCACAAAGCATTCTATTTGGTGTAACAAGCCAACGCCCTGGTACCGATCAATGGTTACAGAAATGTACGCTATAGGATGACGTCCAATAGGGTCGTCGTCATCTCATGGCGTGCGTGGCTGTGAGAAACCTATCAACAGACTTTATAGTTTTTGTCCAGAAGTCTTTGCCCGTGAATTTGATAGGTTGCGTTCATAACTCGTGTTTTTACTACAGTAAATACGATTTGTTTTCAATGTGTTATAAGACCAGTAGAAGATTAAACATGGAGTAAATGTTATCTAGTTTTTCATTGAAATAGAATTTTGCTTACGTATTGGATTCTGATTTGTACATTCGTTATCGTCACTTAGCTTACCAAACAGGGAAAATTTTACCTTGCCGTCATCTCTAACTTCTCCTATACTAAAGTCTGTCACTGACGTGACCTGTTCTTTTTTTAACAGGCAATAAAGCTTGCTAGTCTAATATATTGAACAACTTTATGTAATCCACTGTGCAAACGTATAATAAAAAACAAGTAAGTACATGTAAGTTTTGGAAACAGAGATCAAATACGTAACCCTACAATATAGTGTAAAATAGAAAATTTTTATTTCTTCGTAAGAACTCTACTATTTTTTGACAGATTGTTTAGGT